AAAAAGTGTGATCAACATTCCTCCAGGCTGAATTACAACTGAACAGTAGGTTTCCCTGCTACTTCTCTTGTGATTTTCAATCAGTATAAGAGGAGTACAATAATACACAAAAATAAAGTGCAACCTATTAGGTTGAATGGACAGTAGGTTTCCCTGCTACTTCTGTCATTTTACTCAGTATAAAAGGAGTACAATAATATACAAAAATAAAGTGCAACCTTACCTATCAGGTTGAATGGACAGTAGTTTTCCCTGCTTCTTCTCTGTCATTTTACTCAGTCAGTACACATTCGACAGACAGCCACCGACTTGTCCAGAACACCTCCTTTTTGGCAGAAACCAAAGTGTTTCCACACACTCAACTTCAAATTCGGCTTGAAAATCTCCAGCTCGTCCGCCTCCTCTTTGCTGTTAGCCATGCTTCGTTTTGTTTTGAGTCGGCACTACCGGCACATGCCGATGAAGTCACACTCAGGGAGAGTGAAGCGAATCGAGCAACTTTACGATTAGAAGTGATAAAAATACATGTATATAACGTTGTCGTGCTTAAATACAACGCACAAATGCTTAGTAATCGATATAATCGATTTCTGACCTTGTAAATCGATTTCACAACGATATCATCATCAGTGAGGGACAACTTGCCAAGGCTCTATCGATGCAGTTAGATTGTAGGAAAATAAATCGATGTAATCGATGAATCTTTACACCCCTGATACATATATATATATATGTATGTATGTGTGTGTGTGTCTGTGTATGTACACATATGAGAGGGGAAGCTTTGAAAATCAAAAACCACACAGAAATGCATTACACAGCCATGCTTACTTCAGGAAAAAGAATACCACAGATGAAGTTTACTTCATCAGTAAAGCTCAGTGTTGTTGGTGTTTTCTCCAATATGCCCTTAAGACAGGCAAACAGGGTGTCCTGCTGCTCTTCACTGTTGAGGTACACAGGCACATTGGCCTTTAGTTTCGCAGACCGGGCGAGGCGGTAACTGGGTGTGGCCAGGCGGATTTTGCAAGTTTGGCACACCATTCACGCTGGCGCAGCTACTCCTCTTTCCCACCTCTGTCCCTCCTTCCTGCGCAAGTCAGAAAGAGGGAGGAGAGAAGGTGTGGAGTGGGTTTTACACAGCCAATTCACATCACACCAATCACATGAGCCCACTCTCCTCAATAAATAAAATAAATTGAACGTTGAAATAATTTGTTTTGGGTGATTTGTTGTAGCCTATATTTAATGTGATTGAGTAAATTTACACCATAAA